GACCCCTCTGCAAGGGGATCTCCAGTGGCCTACTAATGGGCTTTGGATCTCCACTCCGCACGCCCCCCATCATTCGCTATGGTAAGACACAAAGACAAACTCTTAATGTATTTTGAAGCTCTTTCATAGATGGCTGAGCTCTGGGTGCTTATCCCCTGAAGAAATGTTTTTCAGACACAAAAGGTTGATTGGGGCAGAGTGACTGGTTATGGAAAGAGTACCTGTCCCTCTATCTAGTGGGGGGTTGGGGTTGGGGGCCAGGAACCTGTGGCATTGCATGTTCTACTGAGCTAATAAGAGGGGATTCAAACGCCTTTGGAGTCGGGGGAGGGGTGCACCAGGCATTAGGACCAGGCTCTGACCTCAGGTAGAGCATTCGCTGTTTGGGGTGGAGCCTGAGTTTGAGGTGTCACTGGCCCCTGGATGAGTGGGGTTTGGGGTTACTAGGATGTGTGAGGGGAACAAGAGAGACTCCCACCTTTGTCATCGCCAGCCATCAGTGTGCCAAGCTGTTTACAAATGTTCCAGATGTTATACTCTATCAGACTAGCTGAGAATTCCTCCATCTGTCTCTTCTCTTCAGCTTCATTAGTGCTCGTGTTTTTAATGTGGAGGGTCTACTGAGCATGCTTGCCTCTTCCCCATCATGTCAAGTCCCATGTTCTGTTTGAAAGCATATATATGCCAAAGTCAATTATCAAGTATGATTTGTTTAAAATAGATAAATGTAACACCTATCTAGTGTGCAAGAACTGATTGTGTTTAGACCTGGCTTGCAGTGGGGTCCTGACTACTACATTGGAAGTCGGTTCTGATGTCAAAACACTATTTACAAACAGTTTTCATTGTTAATTGCCATCTGGGAATGGTAACATCAGCAAATTATGTGCTGCAATATTATATGTAGTACATATTACAAAGTATAAGATGTACCTGTTCCTCTGCAAAAGAAAACAAAACAAAACAAAAAAAAAACCGTTGTTAGTATGGTTCATCATAACTCAAATATGTGGTAACTCGGGCACTTACATGCTCACATTTTTATGTGGATCATATTGAAAAAAGTGACTATTTGATAAGATACACTTCATCATTTTCACTTACCTTTGTGTGATCTATTTCATCTGTAATAACTTAAAACTAAAAGTAGAAAAAAATTGATTTTAGCTGTTTATCTACCTTTGCCTTTTTTTAAAGTGAGTGAACTTGATGCCTACTTGTGGTCAGTGTCTAACATTTGTCAGTCACATCACTTATTGACATTTGCCTCTTGTGTATTCCTGTGATTGATACTTTTAATCTCTTTTAGAAAATTTTTGTTTGCCAGATACACATATTTTAGAGGGGGAAATGAGGTTCAGAATCAGAGTTAAAGACGAAACACACAGCATTCCTCCAGTTCTTTAATGCTCGTGCCCCCAAATTTTTTTTAATCTATTGGAATATGATTATAAAATAATTCAGTAGAATCTGGGAGTTAGCTTTCTCCGATCCTACCTAGAGGAGGAAAGAATGTGCTATTAGTTATATTAAGGCTCAACTTCTAATGATAAATGTAATGAATAGTGTATTGTAGAGTTCTTTGATTTTTCTCAGTGACTGAAGAGGCTGGTACTGCAAGAGACAGCCCCATCTGCAGCTGGAAAATTATTTATTAGCCAGCCTCACTAGCACAGAACTGTACTGTTAAGTGTCTTACGCAGGCTAGGAATTTAAATAAATATTTTATTTACATCTTGAATTATAGAATGTAGACGCCAGTATGACTGAATTGTAAGGATCTTGTTCATACAGGTACCTACAAGAGGTGGGTTACACAGATACTATCCTAGACGTGAAATCCAAGCGAGTGCGAGCGTTGTTGGGGTTGTCGAGTGATGCCCCTGACCGGGAAGATGACAGGAGTCAGGACGCAGTGTTAAACGGCACAGAGGCCGAAGTTAAAGAGACGGGAATGATTGGGTAAGTTTTTTTCTGGAAAGTATTTTGGCTATAACTTAGTTTTTATTAAATTTTTGTTTTATGTGTTACATACTTTTAGATAGTGATATAAAATTTTTTATTTTATTTTATTAAAGGGAAATGCATAAGGAATCAAGTTCTACCCAACAGCAGTTATATTGGTTGTTTTAATTTAAGATTATAATTTTTCACTTAGGAAATTTTTATTCAAAATTTATATATATACTACAAATTTTAGTACCTTGAAGCTCAGTCACTTTCTACTAGAACTTCATAAGTTACCTCGATTGAAAATTAAGTGCAAATCTGTAAAACTGGAATTTCACTGTCGATGACATAAAAATCATGCAAATATCTCATTCCTTACAAGTGAAACCTAAATGCCACTTTTGTCAAATAATGCTGTAACTCATATGTTCTCTGATTTTAAAATATTTTTAAATATATCTTTTCAATTGATAGAATATCTAAGAGTGAAAAATTCAGCAGCTGTTTGAGATATTTTATTTGGCTTTTTGGATCATTTGGTGTTCAGTAACATATAATCCATTTTAGACTGAACAGGAATAGTTCAGTAAGGAGGTTCTTCTCTAGTAAAAAAATGGTATAATTCTTAATTAACCAAATGCCAAAGGTTCTGTGAAAGTTCAAATATGATGTGACTTGAATTTAGTGTGTTTATACTTAGAAAAATGTCAGCTGAGCTCTGTTAAATTCTCAGTGAGTGCATATTCCTGTTCTTTGGCACCTGAACTAAAGTCATGAGATTAATATAAAGATGGAAAGATGGAAAAACGTGTGAAACAAAGCAAAGCTGTCGTGTAGCTTCCCTAAATCCATTACTAGTTGAGATTAAATTAACTTATAGATGTAAGACACCAGTTATTTCGTTGCGTAGGTCGAGACTGTGAGAGCATTGTTCTGGTTGTGTTTTTCACCTTGAGGGCTGACTCTTTATAAAGACCTCCACAGAATATCATTCTTGTTTTATGTTGGGGCTTCTCGGTCTTTTGAGACTGATAAGAGTACTACTCTGAACCTGTCATATTTAGGTGGGAGCTGAGAATGGAGCTGGGAAGGACAAAAGAATAGCTTTCAGATGATTTGTCTTGAAATTTTTTACTATAGTTGTAACTAAAATTTTAAGACAGTGCCTTCTTATCTAGAACATTTGCTAAGGAACCAGGAGACATTTTCATCTTCTGACCACTAGGAAACTGATGACTAAATTTTGTTGTGTGCCTTCAAATCATTTCCGACTCCTAGGCCCATGTGACAGAGTAGACGTGCCCTGAGTTGTTCTCCTGGCTGTGATTGTTAGGAGAGCAGATTGCTACACATTTCTCGGAGGAGCTGGTGAGTGAGTTTGAAAAGCCAGCCTTTGGGTAGCAGGCAAACCCATAACTATCGCACCGTCAGGGCTCCGTATTTTCTAAATTATTTCCAAGAAACTAAATGCAAATCTTATATCTTTAAAAACGCAATAATTTCCAAGACGATTAATGGTTTATTAACCATTACTCAGCAGTAAATAGCACCAACATGGAGCAACTCTTGTAGAAGTATTGATTTGACCAATATATTATTTTTAGTATCTTCATGTACCATTTTGTTAAAAAAATTTTTTTTTTACCTCTTCAGAAATAGAAGATTGGTGCAGAGAAAGCAACATGCTTACTAGCTATTTTCCTTTAGTTTAGAAACTTATGTAAGAGGTCAGAGGGAGAGTTGTACTGAGGTTAAAAAAAAAAGGTGTAATAGTACATTAAGTTCAACTTGCAGAACAAAATAATACTGAGTCAGAAGGATAAATTATTTGCGTTAGACTGATGTGTTGTTTGGTATTGTAGAGTTGGTGAATCATGGCAACCCATATACTGTAGGAAGACACTATGGTTGCACAATACTGGTAGTGAACTGGTTGCATGGTGGGCAGTGATCCGCATGGTCAGCAGTTTGAAACCCCCAGCACCTCCTCCGGAAAAAGACTAGGCTTTCTACTCCTATAAACAATTACACCCTCGGAACCCTCAGGGGCTTGCTGTGAGTCAGTATTGACTCAATGGCAGTGAGTTTTGCCATTGCCATTTTATTACTTTGTAATTAAAGTCTATGGGAATCATAATTTAATTTAGGGGGACCATAATCACAATATAAACAGAAGTTAAAATATTTGAATTACTATTTGTTAATGTTGTTAAAAATGATTGACCAGTAAGATGCACGTGTTTTAACCAGAAAATCCGAGCTAACAGATTCTGCTTCCGTGCTGGATAATTTCAAATTCCTTGAAAGCGCAGCTGCAGATTTCAGTGATGAAGATGAAGATGATGATATTGATGGACGGGAAAAAAGCGTCATTGATACTTCAACAGTGAGTTGGATAGTTTGGTTAATAAAAATTTTTTTAGTGAACAGAATGAGAGTACTTAAAAAGTAACCCACACGTTAAAAACCTAAATTTCCCCTCTCATATCCTAACCTCCCCCCGAATTAATGTTGGGGAACTTTGTGTTCAATGTTGATTTTTAATTTAAGAATATTCGTAAGATAGCAGCTTTCTCTTTAAAGTCCTTACTCTACTGTTCTTTGGTAATTCATTACAGTGACAACATTTTGTAGGTCTAGGTAATGTGGTGAACACTACAAGATGTAACAGTGCAGTGTTACTGGCTGCGGTAAGACAATAAAACTGACAGGCCCATAGTGGTGTCCGATGGAGACTGGCATCAGCTCTCTTGGTGCCGTGTTTGTCTGTCTTGTCTGGAATGCTTTGGAAGACACGTTCTATAAACATCTTTGCTTTCAGAAGTCTTTCATCAGATTTCTTCATAATTGTATGGGGTTATTCTGTTGTTTGGTTGAGACGTTCTTAAAACTTTCTTTCCCGCTGTTGTGTTCTGGAATAAGAGGTAAAACGTTCCCGCTGTTGTGTTCTGGAATAAGAGGTATCCACATTGCTGCTTCTCCCTTGTACCTCCTTCTGCCATATCATCCCCTTTCTTTCTTCCTTCTCCATTGGTGAAATAAGATATGTGGACATACTTTGCTTTGTTCAGGAAAATGTCTGGCATTCCTTTCTCCACATTTATTTAACTGGAGGAAGCGAAGAATAAGATAATACAGATTAACCAAACCTAGCCTCAGAAGCCTTGCATTTAAATCCCAGTTTTGCCACTAATGTCTGTATTTAAGTCTTAGTTTTCTATTTATAAAATGTATAATATAAAAAATACCCATCTTATCCCAGAGTATTTTATGAGGAATAAATTGAGACAGTATATGAATATATGAAAATGAGTTAACTATCAAGTACTCTCTAAGTGTCCTCTGTTCTCAATGCCCTCTGCTTCCTGAGCTCCATCTGCTACTTAATAAATTATTACTTTAAGGTGATTTTTTCCTCCAGACCACTATTCATATAGTAAGCCCTCTGCTGATTCATCCCCATCATGGGTTTTATTTGAACGTTATGCTTGTTTTCCTTATCCAGACAAATAGAGAGGATGTGTCTTAATTGACTGGAGTACAAGAAAAACCCCAAAGCTATACAGGTCACGATAAGGATAATGAATATGTAAGGTACTGGATGGTCTCCAGTGAGCCCTGGTGGTGCAGTGGGTAAGCTCTGGATTCTTAACAGAAGGTTGCCTGTTTAAACCCAGCCAGCTTCCCTGCGGGAGAATGACCTGGCAGTGTGTTCCACTAGAGGACAGCCACGGCGCGCACACGGGCACTGCTCTCCCATAGGGACCCGATGAGTTGAAAGAGACTGGATGGCGCCAAACGACAGCAACAATGATAATATCCCTTTGAATGCTGTCAGAGCCTTCTAAATTGCTCTCGGTAAAGGTTGTACCAGTTTACTCTGTACCAGGTGCAGGAGTATCATTCTCCCTATATTCCCAACTATACTAGATATTTCACAGACTCATAGACAGAATATTTGTTAATGTTTTATTATGTTAAGCCTCCCTCCTTGTGCTTATTGTCTCATTTATTTGTGCATAGGGGCTGCTTTTTTTCTGTAAATTGTCTCAGGTTCTTTCACTTTTTAGGTACTGCCTTTTATATGTGGAGGGCTAGAGCCTTTACATTATAGGTAGATAAATAGATAATGCGTGTGTGTACACAAATAAGGAGAGTGTGTGTGCATGTATGTGAGCCACATGCACGCATCTTTCTATCCTGCATTACTTAGTAACGTGCAACCAAAAATATAGGGATACATTTGTTGTTAGACATGTTGACACAGGTTCATGGAGTGAAGTTCTTTCTAATCAGAAAGATTCAGAATTGTTACTTCTCTCATAGATTTTTTTAAAAAAATCATTGACTTTTGAGTCTATATCCCTGGTAAAACTCTTTGCTTTAAAATCTGTTGTACCTCATAGTTTTCTTTTGGGTACCATTTCTCTGGAATAAGTCCCTTCTCTTCCCATTATTGTAAATAATAGCTGTTACTGAAAGTATGATTTATAGTTTTAGATTTTAGGGACAGCAGGTACCTCAAATTAACTAAGAAAGATAGTTTTCAATTTTAGTTGATTAAAAAATATGCATGGTATAGACGTTGATTTCAAATACTTGTAGTGAGACCACTGGAGTTCACAACTGATTACCAAAAATCATGCCCACAAGATGGCAGTGTTGCATAACATGCTCTTTATTGGGAGGTCTCCCTTTACCGAGGGCAAGTTGTACCTTATGGCTGGAGGCCCTCTGGAGGCACAGGTATGCTAGCAGCCACCTGAAGGGGAAGAAAGTAAAGGAACTCCTAGGAGGGAGCTGGGGATGAGGGGTGGGGAGGAAAGGGCATAAAGGCCCTAGAGCAGGGGTCCTCAAACTTTTTAAACAGGGGGCCAGTTCACTGTCTCTCAGACCTGTTGGAGGGCCGGGCTATAGTTTAAAAAAAAAACTATGAACACATTCTTATGCACACTGCACATATCTTATTTTGAAGTTAAAAAAATGGGTCAAAAACACCCAGCGGACTGGATAAATGTCCTTGGCGGGCCG